GGCGGAGAGAAAGAGAGAGAGAGAAAGAGAGAGAGAGAGAGAGAAAGACTTCTTTTCAGTTTAGGTAGGTCTTTGTCAACATAAAATGTATAAAGAGGCATTTGTGTTTTCTTCAGGCATTTTTCTCATTTTGTATTAAAATTAATCATCTATATTCAATCAGGGAATCACTTTTGTGACATAAAAGTCTAGTTTTCTCCAAACAACAAACAGGCATTTCACTCATGAATAATTTGTCTCCTACTAATATGAAATGTCACCAGCAGCACATACCAAATACTTGCAGAGATTTGGGTGTTTCTGGGTTTTTGTTCTGTTCCACCACCACCCCCATCCTTTTCATCTGTTGGCAAACACATAATTTGTAAAAATTAATTGTGTATTTTGATACCCAGAAGGACAAGTCTTTATTACAAACATTTTCTTTGTGTTGTCACAACCCTAAAAGACTGAAATGTCTCAAAATGTTAAAACTCTGATATCCTTATTGGCAAACAAAAATTGGTCATCATAGAAAGAGCTCACACTTTGGGGATCATGAGTATTCTTATTCAAAACCATCACACCAAAGCTGGAGTTGTGGTTGGGTGGTGGAGCGCTTGCCAAGCACGTTTGAGGCACTGGGTTCGATCTTTAGCACTTCATAAAAATAAATAAAATAAAAGTATTGTGTCCTTCTACAACTAAAAAATATAGATATTTTTTAAAAATCACAGCAGGGCCCAGGCCCTTCTTGGCTACCCTGGTCCCTTGAGAACAAGGCAGGATGAGGGGCGTTAGGGCGGCTGCAAGCAGCCCATGATGCCATCTCTGCTTGTCCTCTGCCCTCCCTGTGCTGCCCCTGCCGCCCTGGTGGGTCGCTGGGACACTGCCTAAATAGAGAAGCGGGACTGGATAACCACAGGAAAGGGTATCCGAACAGTGGGAATCGGCAATTTTTCACGGGAAGCTTTGGCAGAAGTTGCTTGCGGTTGCCTGCAGTGGTGACAAGTGGAAACAGGACGATGTGATGTGTGTGGTGCTTTGGAAAGTGGAAGCTGCCGTGCACTCTGTTCCATTCTCTCGGAAGTGAGTGAAGTTAATGGAGTACTCGTCAACATCTTGTCATGAAGATGGTTGGCTGACCAAGATGACACAAAGTGACACTTCAGAAGTCAAGGAATTAGTGAAGCGTGAGAAATAAGTAAAATATCTTGAGGAGTGGAAGTGGCACCCCTAAATACACTAGTGTGAAATAACTTTAAACACGACCATTAGAAAGCCGGCGGAGCCATCTTCCCACTTCAAAGAGTCCCCCTGAGGCCCCTCCGTAGAGAACAAGGACATAGGTGTACACTAATGCAAATGGATATTGGGCTGCACTGGAAAAATCTTCCAGTTGGAAAAAATATTTTTCTCAGAATACACTTTTCTACTATGTATATAACTTGCTTTTTAAAATGTGTGCATTAACAATAAACGGCTGTGTGTACTTAATTTTGTGAGTTAAATCGCTCTTAAACAGGCAATCAGTCGCTCTATAGGGGGGTTGTAAGCTGCTGGGAAAGCAGCTGAAGTTTTGCAGCTCATTAAGAGGACCTGAGCTCCGAGGTTTGCAGGTCCCAGCTGTCCGGTCCGTGAGGCATAAAAGCCCAGCATCGGGTGGAAGGAGAACTGGACTCCCTTCTGCTCTGTCCCCCTGGACGCAGCCTGGATGGCGCAGACTTCTGCCTCATGAGTCCCGCTTCCCCGGTTGGCCCCTTGCCCCTGGGGTCCCTGCCCTCCGGGCTCTATGTACCTGTCCTTCTTGTCTGCGTCATCGATGTAACTTCCCCGACAGAGCAGACGTCTCACTTGGGCTACATTTCCATTTCTTGCAGCCTTGTGGATCTTGCCTACAGGGTTATATCCCAAAACCGTACTCCCGAGGCTGAAGTCAAGAAAATCCATCAAGGCTGCGTACATCCTCGTCTCTCCGAGGCCCCTTTACTGCCTTTGCTCCCACGGGGCTTGTCTCTGTTTTCCGAACCCATGCCGGAGTTTATAGGTCAGTCCCCAGCTTGGGAACAGGGCAGTTGGGCGGTTAGGTAACTGCCAAAGGTGGAATAGTGGTTGCCAAGCAACACTGCTAAACGCAAGTGCGTTCCTGGCACCCCAACCTTTGGGCAGGACCTGATGTGCCTGGCCAGGAGTGACCCGGCACCTGGGGGTCGGTCGCTTGCACTCCAGCCAGCACCGAGCTCCGCTGCCCAGTGGAAGTGGAGGCGCTGAGAGCTGGAGTGGAGGTGGGCGCCCCCAGGTCCCTGTAGATCATCAGCTGTAGATGGAGAGCTCGCCCTCAGCTTCACGAAGCCCAGCTTGTGATGGCGCCAGAGCTGGGGCTGGAAGGAGCCTAAGCCTCCTGGTGCCAGTCCACATACTATGGAACGTGGAACAGGAGAGGACCACCCTGAGCTCCTGGAAGGCCAGTCAAGCTTCACCCAAGTTCAGCACCACCAAGGCGGCCCTGCAGCACCCGACAGTCGTGGCTGGCCACTGGGGGTCCCTAACCTCAAGCCCTGCTGTTTCCAGGGCTCTGTCTGCCCATCAGGGTAGCGCGTTATCGGACCGCTCATTGGGGCTGCTGGGTTAGAGCATCCTAGTTGGCCAGAAACCATGCTAGAGATTCTCCATCCATGCTGCACCCGCCATGGAAGGCCAGGAAGTCCCCTACGGCGCCAGGGCTGAACCCCACAGGACAAGAAAGAGGCTCTGTTGGCTCAGCTCTCCCTCGGCTCCAGGAGATACCCACTCCCAGGCAGGGGTGCCCTCCCCGAGCTGAAGTTTCCTACGTGCTTGATGGGGGAGCACACTAGGAGGAGGCCCCAGGGGAAGGTCAGGTTCTGACCTTGGCTAGGGCAGCTGCCCCGCAGTCTTCCAGATGCCAGAGGCCCACGACTGGGTTTAAAGTAGACAGCAACATCAGGATGCTGAATGCCTGGTCTCCAAGAGAACCCTCTTAAAATGGTCTCTGTAAATCTCCCTGTCTCTCCTTTTCTTCCCCTTCCACATCCCCCTGGGTTCCAGCAGGTCTCCAGAGAAGTTTAGCACATTCAGTTAGAAAATCTGTCTTCGTGTTTCTTAGCCCACAAAACAACTCCTAGCAAATACAAAAATAAATAAATAAATACCTTGCATTCTATCAGATCATGATGGAATGAAATTAGAAATCAATGATGAATAAATAAAAATAGAAGCTACTCTAATACCAGGAAACTATTACACTATTAAATGTCCAATGGATAGAAGAAGAAATCAGGGATGGAAAAAAAAAAAAACTTAGAGGTAAATGAGAACAGTGATACAATAGATCAAAATCTCTGGAATACTGTGAAGGCAGTTCTAAGCATTGACCTTATTCATTAAAAGAATAAGAAGTCAACAAATAACCTGAAATTACATCTCAAAAGTCCTAGAAAAAGAACAAATCAGCACCAAAAGTAACAGAAGAAATAATAAAAATCAGACCTGAAATTAATGAAATTGAAAACAAACTCTCCAAAAAAAAATTAACAAAACAATAAGTTGGTTCTTTAAAAAAAATAAAATTTAAAATAACTAAAAGTTTTGATGAAAAAGGAACAGGATCACAACAAGCACTACTGAAATACAGATAACAATCAAAAACTATTTTAAAAATTTATATACCAAAAAAATAGAAAATCATGAAGATATTGACAAATTTCTAGAGACATATGACCCACCCAATTTGAATCAGGAGAACATAGATAATTTAAACAGATCAATTTCAAGCAGTGAAATTGAAGACATCATCAAAACCCTACCAACAAAGAAAGGCCCAGGGCTGGACAGATTCTCAGCCAAGTTCTACCAAACCTTCAAAGAGGAACCAACACCAATCATCCTCAAATTACTTCATGAAATAGAAAAGGAGGGAACCCTTCCCAACTTATTCTATGAGGTAGTATCACCCTGTTACCAAACCCAGACAAAAATGCATCAAGGAAA